GACAGCGGCACACCGGTCTTGACGTTGGTGTCGACAGCTGGGCAATCGTGTAGCTGTTCTCCTGTGTTCAAGACGTGCTCTTCCTTGTAGCGGCGGTTGCTTTCGGCGACTGCTTGGCGAGTGGCGTATAGGTTCACGGCTTTCGGGGCGGGCCGCTTCTTGCTGCCTTTCTTGATCACCATATTCCGCAGCACCTCAATGTCGGCGTCGGTCTGCTGTCCCACCCGAACGCGTGCCAGCAGAGCGGCCCAGGCTGGGTCGCGTGCGGCCCGCTGGTTTCCTTCTAACTCGCAGAGCTGGAAGAGCAGCCAAAGCCGGCTGGCGAAGGCCGGCAGCCCGCTTGGTGGAGGCAACTGATACAGGTCCCCGGCAAAGATGACGTGCAGTCCTCCGAAGGGCAGGGTTTGCAGATCTCTGGCAAGACGGAGATGCTGATCCAGACGCTCCAACATCCAGGAGGGGATGAAGCTCATCTCGTCAACGAACAGAACGCTGACCTTCGACCAGATGTCTCTGAGAGTGGCTAACTTCTGGCGGTCCGGCAGCGGCATGTCGCAGGCCTTGCCGTGGCTTTGGTTCACTACGGGGAGCAAGCAACATTGATGGAGGGTGACACCGTTGATGTTGAATGCTGCCACACCCGTGGGCGCCGCTATGATGCATCCTTTCTTGCTTTGCCGCAGGACGTGAGCTGCTGCGCGTACCACCACGGACTTGCCGCTGCCGCCGGGCCCGTGGAGGAGCATGTGCAGACGCTGAGTATTCTGCGTGTCCTTGGTGTTCGGCTGCCTCAGAACTGACTGGACGATGTGCTCCATGGCTTGGCACTGGCGCGTGGTCTCCGGGCAGGGGTTCTCAACCGTCAACATCTCGAATGATTCTTCGCCTTCCTCGACCGGCGCAAAGGCATTGAGGGCAGCTCCGGTGGGCACAGAGTCCGGGGCCAGGAAGTCGATGTCTCCTCCATACCGCTCCTTCAGTGCCTCCAATATTTGCAAGGAATCCTTGTAGTTCTCCTCGGCAACCTTGCTGTTGGCCCAGCCGTCCCGCAGGTTTGCCGGATGCATCTTGGCCTTCATGTACATCGTCGCTTGTACGGCCTGCAGCTTGCGGGCGGCGTCGACGGTCCCATCTAGCTGAGGGAAGCATCTCGACCGAAGGAAGTCTGGGTGGCCGCGCACGTCTCGGGCGATGCGCTGGAACGCTGCTGCATGGCTTCCTGCATCCTGCTCCAACAGCCAATCTCCAGGTTCCTTCCACACCAGGTGCAGCAGCAACTTGGAGTAGTAGAAAGCTTCGGCCTCCTCGTCCGGGTTGAAGTTCTGGTAGCCGACGATTGCAGGGCGCCTGCGAGGCTGTGGTTCTTGCACGCCGATGTACTTGAAAGCCGCGCAAAAGTCCAGGAAGGTGACTTCACTAAACCGACAGGAAACCGGCTCCCTGCCTTCCACTGGCAAGGTCGTCTCATGTTCACCGAAGGTGGTTTGCATTTCCCGGTACCAGTGATGAGCAACAGGCAGGTTCCCACCTTGGCGCATCTTCTTGTTGCGGTAGTCAGTGGGCTGCTGCAAGGCCACCTGTTCCTCATGCTTGGGCACCCACACTGTCCAGGTGTCTGGAGGCCCCACCTGTACCCAGACGTTGTCCCTGGAGAATTCGATGATCGGGAAGCCCAGCAGAAGGTGGCATGCCTCGAAGGTCGACGTGGTCCTGCCCTGCAACGCCGCGTGGGCTGCCTTGTAGATCTTCTGATTGTCGAGGCCGGCGCCTGCGCTCTGACTTGTTAGGATGGCAAGGATGTTTTCCATTCGCCGCTGCGCTTCGCGATCCTCCTCCGACTTGAAAGTGTAGCCCAGTATGTACCGACTGGCGCTGGTGAGCTCGCAGATGACCTGCAGGTCCATGCTTGCCCTCCACCTTCTCAAGATTCGAATGTTGTACTGTCCCATCATGCTGTCTCCCTTCACTCGTCTCGTCGCAAGGCTGCTCTTCCAGCGGCTGTTGGCGTACTGCTCCTGCGATGTTCGACGCCGAGTCCGGGGCTCTGCATCATGTGGAAATCCAAATCGACAGGCGCCTTCTGAGTACATGCCGCAATATGGCGTGTGGTTGTGCACCACCTCTGCGGACAGCTTTGCGTTCACTTCTCTATCTCTGGGTGGTACGCGGTGGGATTGGCGCCACGTGTTCGGGGACTTGGTGCAGATGTACTTGTCGCTGAGGTCCTCCGCACACTTGGGGATGAAGTTCTCCATGGCCTCTTCGTCAGACCAGTCTGGAACCGGTGTCTCTGCTGCTTGTTCGGAGTCTTCGCCGTCGGGCGCCATCTTGTCTGGCTGCTGCGTTGCTTTGGCCCACTCTTCGATCCAAAGCAGGATGTGAGCGTGGGGGTAGCCCCGCTTTTGCCATTCTATGCGAATGATGTAGTCCAACACTTTGAAAGGAGGCCGTTCCTTGCGCATGCGGCGATGAAGGCCTGCAAAATCCGTGGCGGGTGCCTGGGCGTCGTCCTCCACGTCCTCGCAGTCGTTCTCCTCGACTCCATCTTGTGGATCAGCATCTTCGTGCAGGTGGACTTTCGGACCGCGCGTGCTGGACAGCCACCACATCAGCTGAGAGACTTGGTGCATGAATTGTCGCGCTACCACTGCCGGCTGCTGGTTGCACAACTGGTTGGGCGACAACCCATCCCAAGTGAAGTTCTTGTCATTCTGGTAGCGGAATAGGATCTCCGCAGCGTGCTGCTCCAGTTCTGCCTGAGGGCGGTCGGGATGCAGCCGCAGCAGCCGTGCCGAGATAGCCGCGAGGAGCAACGCAGGCTGGCGCGCGTGGCAGGACAGTGTCATGAAGAAGTTGGGAGCGCCAAGCTGCTCGTACATGTTGAGCGCCACTCCCTTCTTGGCGTACAGGTACGGCTGCGTGCCAGGCATGTCCCGCAAGGCAGCATACACCTGACGGCTACCGTTCTCGTAGTCGCTACTGCCGTAGGGCACCCGCTGGTTGCCGATCCGGACGTTGATGTTTCCGGAAAGTCGCTTCTTGGTCTGCATCTCCAGCAGCCACATGATGTAGGCCGTGGACGCTTCGAAGCGGGAATCCAGGCTCAGCAGACGCTTCCGGGCATATTGGGAAAAGCTTCCGTTGTCGTTCTTCCAGCCTCCTGTGCCGGTGGGAAACAAGTGTGGGAAGAATTTTGCATCCATGCCATCGCTGAGGTCTGCGGATCCTCGCACTTTTCGCAAATCTTGTACGTCGGCTTTTGGGGCCTGGAATTGCTTCGGCACCAGGTATGTCATCTCGATCTCTTGGTTTGCTTCTGTTCCCGCAAGTGGGTCTGTTGGCACCGCAGCCGCAGCGGATGTCTTGTTGGCGAGGATGGCAGCCATTCTCGCCAGAGCTCTGTCCACTGCCGGGCTCCGTTGATAGAGGCAGTGCAGTTCCTTCAAGGCCTGCAAGGCCGCGTGTAGGTGCTCCAAACGCGCTGGTGATGCGGTCATGCCGTCCACGCCCTCGACCAGCACTGTACCGTCTTCTTCCAAAGTGGCGCCTTCGAGGACGTCGCAGATGAAAGGATCCTGCATGAGCACTGCGTACATGCGACCCCACTGCGCGCTCGGGCCGCCTGATGGCAGCTTGTCCAACAAGACCTGCGAGATGCGTGCCATGGCGAGGAGATGCTGCTCGATGGGTTGCAGACTTTGCAGTGCTTCTGGGATGGGGGCCGGGATTGGCAAAACCACCTTGGTGCGATTCTCGCGGCAATTCCTGCAGAGCAGCTGGCCACTTCCTTTGGCTGTTCTGCAGTGCCTCCCTGGTGTTAGAGTCTGGCACTTCTGGCACACGCGAGAAAGGCCAAATCTACTCCAGCTCCGCGCAAAAGCCAAGTAATGGGCTTGTGCCTGCTCCTGGGTCAAGGTGTCCTCGTCTGGAAAAGGGTAGCCCTGCTGCTGAATCTCCGAGGCGATGGGCCTGGGCCCTCGGCCGCCCACTCCCTCCTCTGCCTTTGCCCGCTCCCTTGCCTCACGCAGCTGTCGGCGCTCTGCTTCTTTGCTGTCTTCTTCCCGCAAAGGTCCACGGCCGCCCGCTTCCTCCTCTGACTTTGCCCGCGCCCTTGCCTCACGCAGCTGTCGGCGCTCTTCCCTTTTGCCGTCTTCTTCCCGCAAAGGTCCACGGCCGCCCGCTTCCTCCTCTGCCTTTGCCCGCTCCCTTGCCTCACGCAGCTGTCGGCGCTCTGCTTCTTTGCTGTCTTCTTCCCGCAAAGGTCCACGGCCGCCCGCTTCCTCCTCTGCCTTTGCCCGTGCCCTTGCCTCACGCAGCTGTCGGCGCTCTTCCCTTTTGCCGTCTTCTTCCCGCAAAGGTCCACGGCCGCCCGCTTCCTCCTCTGCCTTTGCCCGCGCCCTTGCCTCATGCAGCTGTCGGCGCTCTGCTTCTTTGCTGTCTTCTTCCCGCAAAGGTCCACGGCCGCCCGCTTCCTCCTCTGCCTTTGCCCGCGCCCTTGCCTCACGCAGCTGTCGGCGCTCTGCTTCTTTGCTGTCTTCTTCACGCAAAGGTCCACGGCCGCCTGCTTCCTCCTCTGCCTTTGCCCGCGCCCTTTCCTCATGCAGCTGTCGGCGCTCTGCCTTTCTGCTGTTCTCTTCGCGCAAGGGTCCACGACTGCCCGCTCCCTGCGCTGCCCGTTGTTGCTGCCAAACAATTTTCTCTGCGCTCTTCTGGGCCAGGCACTCCTCTTTTTCGGCTTGGCGGCACTGCGGATTGCTGCACCATCCCTGTCCTCTGCCGCTCCTTGTCCCGAAGCCGCACCGATGACAAGGGGCCATGGCAACGAATCCTGAATCCTCAGATTTTGCACCTAGGGGCTGTATCCGAAACACTGCAGCAGGCTCAGTGAAGCAACTTGAGAAGCCATGCTCGAGCACTTACAAAGCTGTCCTGCCTTTGCTCGCTGCTCAGTTTCTTTCTCGTGGCACACACTGGAGCTCTGCAGGCTTGTCTTGCTGAGACATAACGTACTCACATGGGCAGCTCTACGGGCCTGTGGCTTTCTCTGAGATGTAGACAACTTGCACGTGCACGACGTCGTTGCTCAAGCTGTGACCCAACAGTTCACGCCAGCTCCAGGTGTCTGTGATCACGCCCCCGCCCAAGACCAGCTTCGTGGTGTCGAGGGGGATGGGTCCTGCAGGACCGCTGTCCAAATCGTGAAGCAAGACTTCCCTGGCGCTGCGATATTGCAGCGTTTCCGCCGGGATAGGCTTCTTAATTTCTTGTCGTCTGAGACGTAGTTGGCGCAGGGAGAGACGGCGATCTGGGCTGTTTCCTTCGTGCAAAGTGTGCAGCCAGGCTTCCCGGAAAGACTCGCACGGTTCGACATGGCAGAGTGGATAAGGCTTCGAGGTGTGGATTTCGCTACCTTGCATGTTCAGGTACTTCACCGTCATGTTGGCGAGACGCTGGCGGTATTCATTCTGGATTTCCATTTCTTTGCTCCACTGTACTCTCTCACGCGCATCTTCCTCGGCTTCGCGCTGCATCTCACTGTCGACCCAGTCCCAGTCGTCGAACCCGTCCTCGAAGTCCGCCTGTTCGGAGTCGCGAATCGAGTGGTCTCTGCTCTCCAAGTCCTCGCACGTGTCTTCGAGCATGCTGTCGCACCAGTCGACCTGAGAAACAAGACAGCGGCCATGTTCCAAAAACGAAACGAACAGCTGCGACGATTGAGATTTGTACCCCAATGGTTGCCTGGCCGCAGCGGGACACGGATGAAGACTTTAAAACGATTCGAATTGAGCCCAAGCGCGCTGCACAAGCAACAAAAAGCACGGGAAGGCTCGGCCGTCCCTACCTTCTCACAAGCTCAAGAAAGAGGTGCAACATGGCTCAACAATGCACAGAAGAAGCGAGTAGCCCATGACCGGCCGTTTCTGTGGAATTTTGAGAGTCAGAGCGAATGAAGATTGGCGTGAAACAGATGTTCTGCCAGCGACTGCTTGTGCCGTAGCCTGCATCGCGGCAGCTTTTCTAAGAGAAGAAACGGTCCGGCCACTGGCTGCTCTTCTGGCTGCCATCGTCCGTTGATCAGGATTGCCAGATGCGTCTGCCGCGACAGTGCTTCGTGACTATGGGCTTCAGATCCCATGGCTGAGATGACGTCGCCGACCGTGACGTTCTGAAGGGCCTAGAAGCTCACAGGTCGAAACAGCATGGCAATACGGTATTTGTGGGCTTCCGGTTCATTCAGCCCAGCAGCTGTCCAGCGCACAGAGCCTGCGACGTGGCCGGCCATGGTCCGCAAATTTGCGATCGGGCCACCGTCCCACTTCAGCTCGCAGTTCAGGCCCCCCAACAGCCGCAGCGGTTGGCCATTGCAACTCGCATCAGTTGAGCTGAGAAACAAGGGATGCGAAAATGCTCTCAAGACCTTTTGCGGTGACAGAGGCTTGCGCCCGAAATGGCTGTGGATGAAGACTTAAGGCTGTTCATATTGAGCCAAAGCGCACGGTGTGAGCGGTAAACGCTGGCCCCTATTCAGGTTGAGGCAAGCAAACAGGAATTGCTGGTGTCAGGACTTTGTGTTGACTGAAGCGACTCGGCTGCACCCCATTCTGGTTGAGCATAAGCACCTGGCACATGGCCCCCATTCAGGTTGAGGACAAGCAAACGTGGTTCTCCTTCATAAAATGCACCAGCGTAAGGGTTTCCAGCTCTTGGAAGGCCTTGCCAGGTAGTTCTCTTTCATAGAATGCACCAGGATAAGGATTTCCAGCTCTTGGAAGGCCTTGCCAGGTAGTTCTCCTTCATAAATGCACCAGGATAAGGATTTCCAGCTCTTGGAAGGCCTTGCCAGGTAGTTCTCCTTCATAAAATGCACCAGAATAAGGATTTCCAGTTCTTGGAAGGCCTTGCCAGGTAGTTCTCCTTCATAAAATGCACCAGGATAAGGATTTCCAGCTCTTGGAAGGCCTTGCCTTTTCCAGCTCGCGGAAGGCCTTTCCAGGTAGCTCTTTCATAAAATGCACCAGGATAAGGATTTCCAGCTCGCGGAAGGCCTTTCCAGGTAGTTCTCCTTCATAAAATGCACCGGATAAGGATTTCCAGGTCGCGGAAGGCCTTTCCAGGTAGTTCTCCTTCATAAAATGCACCAGGATAAGGATTTCCAGCTCTTGGAAGGCCTTTCCAGGTAGTTCTCCTTCATAAAATGCACCGGATAAGGATTTCCAGCTCGCGGAAGGCTTTTCCAGGTAGTTCTCCTTCATAAAATGCACCAGGATAAGCATTTCCAGCTCGCGGAAGGCCTTTCCAAGTAGTTCTTCTTCAGAAAAAAGCACCAGGATAAGGATTTCCAGCTCGCGGAAAGCCTTTCCAGGTAGTTCTCCTTCATAAAATGCACCAGGATAAGGATTTCCAGCTCGCGGAAGGCATTTCCAGGTAGTTCTCTTTCATAAAATGCACCAGGATAACGATTTCCAGCTCGCAGAAGGCCTTTCCAGGTAGTTCTCCTTCATAAAATGCACCAGGATAAGGATTTCCAGCTTGCGGAAGGCCTTTCCAGGTAGTTCTCCTTCATAAAATGCACCAGGATAAGGATTTCCCTTTCCAGGTAGTTATCCTTCATAAAATGCACCAGGATAAGGATTTCCAGCTCTTGGAAGGCCTTTCCAGGTAGTTCTCCTTCATAAAATGCACCAGGATAAGCATTTCCAGCTCGCGGAAGGCCTTTCCAAGTAGTTCTTCTTCAGAAAAAAGCACCAGGATAAGGATTTCCAGCTCGCGGAAAGCCTTTCCAGGTAGTTCTCCTTCATAAAATGCACCAGGATAAGGATTTCCAGCTCGCGGAAGGCATTTCCAGGTAGTTCTCTTTCATAAAATGCACCAGGATAAGGATTTCCAGCTCGCAGAAGGCCTTACCAGGTGGTTCTCCTTCATAAAATGCACCAGGATAAGGATTTCCAGCTCGCGGAAGGCCTTTCCAGGTAGTTCTCCTTCATAAAATGCACCAGGATAAGAGCCTTTCCAGGTAGTTCTCCTTCATAAAATGCACCAGGATAAGGATTTCCAGCTCTTGGAAGGCCTTGCCAGTTAGTTCTCCTTCATAAAATGCACCAGAATAAGGATTTCCAGTTCTTGGAAGGCCTTGCCAGGTCGTTCTCCTTCATAAAATGCACCAGGATAAGGATTTCCAGCTCTTGGAAGGCCTTGCCAGGTTGTTCTCCTTCATAAAATGCACCAGGATAAGGATTTCCAGCTCTTGGAAGGCCTTTCCAGGTAGTTCTCCTTCATAAAATGCACCAGGATAAGGGTTTCCAGCTCTTGCAAGGCCTTGCCAGGTAGTTCTCCTTCATAAAATGCACCAGGATAAGGATTTCCAGCTCTTGGACGAGGTAGTTCTCCTTCATAAAATGCACCAGGATAAGGATTTCCAGCTCTTGGAAGGCCTTGCCAGGTAGTTCTCCTTCATAAAATGCACCAGGATAAGGATTTCCAGCTCTTGGAAGGCTGCCAGGTAGTTCTCCTTCATAAAATGCACCAGGATAAGGATTTCCAGCTCTTGGAAGGCCTTGCCAGGTAGTTCTCCTTCATAAAATGCACCAGGATAAGGATTTCCAGCTCTTGGAAGGCCTTGCCAGGTAGTTCTCCTTCATAAAATGCACCAGGATAAGGATTTCCAGCTCTTGGAAGCAGCTTTGCAGCCGAGTCGCCCGGGATTCTCCTTAGTTGGTTGGCGATAAGCTTACCAGCTGAGATTTGCAGCCGAGTCGCCTGGGATTCTCCTTAATTGGTTGGCGAGAAGCTTTCCAGCTGGGATTTGCAGCCGAGTCGCCTGGGATTCTCTTCATTGGTTGGCGATAAGCTTTCCAGCTGAGATTTGCAGCCGAGTCGCCCGGGATTCTCCTTAATTGGTTGGCGATAAGCTTTCCAGCTGAGATTTGCAGCCGAGTCGCCTGGGATTCTCCTTAATTGGTTGGCGATAAGCTTTCCAGCTGAGATTTGCAGCCGAGTCGCCCGGGATTCTCCTTAATTGGTTGGCGAGAAACTTTCCAGCTGAGATTTGCAGCCGAGTCGCCTGGGATTCTCCTTAATTGGTTGGCGATAAGCTTTCCAGCTTTGCAGCCGAGTCGCCCGGGATTTTCCTTAATTGGTTGGCGATAAGCTTTCCAGCTTTGCAGCCGAGTCGCCTGGGATTCTCCTTAATTGGTTGGCGATAAGCTTTCCAGCTGGGATTTGCAGCAGAGTCGCCTGGGATTCTCCTTAATTGGTTGGAGATAAGCTTTCCAGCTTTGCAGCCGAGTCGCCCGGGATTCTCCTTAATTGGTTGGCGATCAGCTTTCCAGCTTTGCAGCCGAGTCGCCCGGGATTCTCCTTAATTGGTTGGCGATAAGCTTTCCAGCTGGGATTTGCAGCCGAGTCGCCCGGGATTCTCCTTAATTGGTTGGCGATAAGCTTTCCAGCTTTGCAGCCGAGTCGCCCGGGATTCTCCTTAACTGGTTGGCGATAAGCTTTCCAGCTTTTGCAGCCGAGTCGCCTGAGATTCTCCTTAATTGGTTGGCGATAAGCTTTCCAGCTTTGCAGCCGAGTCGCCCGGGATTCTCCTTAATTGGTTGGCGATAAGCTTTCCAGCTGGGATTTGCAGCCGAGTCGCCCGGGATTCTCCTTAATTGGTTGGCGATAAGCTTTCCAGCTTTGCAGCCGAGTCGCCTGGGATTCTCCTTAATTGGTTGGCGATAAGCTTTCTAGCTTTGCAGCCGAGTCGCCTGGGATTCTCCGTAATTGGTTGGCGATAATCTTTTCAGCTTTGCAGCCGAGTCGCCCGGGATTCTCCTCAATTGGTTGGCGATAAGCTTTCCAGCTGGGATTTGCAGCCGAGTCGCCCGGGATTCTCCTTAATTGGTTGGCGATAAGCTTTCCAGCTTTGCAGCCGAGTCGCCCGGGATTCTCCTTAATTGGTTGGCGATAAGCTTTCCAGCTGGGATTTGCAGCCGAGTCGCCTGGGATTCTCCTTAATTGGTTGGCGATAAGCTTTCTAGCTTTGCAGCCGAGTCGCCTGGGATTCTCCTTAATTGGTTGACGATAAGCTTTCCAGCTGGGATGTGCAGCCGAGTCGCCCGGGATTCTCCTTAATTTGTTGGCGATCCTGGCAGTTTTCCTTCATAAATTGCACCAGGATAAGAGGCCTTTCCAGGTAGTTCTCCCTCGTGAAATGCACCAAGAAGGCCTTTCCAGGTAGTTCTCCTTCATGAAATGCACCAGGATAAGGATTTCCAGCTCTTTGAAGGCCTTTCCAAATAATTCTCCTTCATAAAATGCACCAGGATAAGGATTTCCAGCTCTTTGAAGGCATTTCCAGGTAGTTCTCCTTCGCAAAAAAAGCACCAGGATTTCCAGCTATTTGAAGACAGGATAAGGATTTCCAGCTTTTTTTCAAGGCCTTTCCATGTAGATGTGATCAGAATGCAGCGTGTTCCCTTCCCTAATTGGGTCGGGATGTGATCAGGGCCGCGCAACCAAGGTAGCCCTGCATTCCCCTCTCTAGTTGGGTCGGGATGTGATCAGGGCCTGTAAATGCAGGCACAGAGCCTTGCGTTCCCCTCCCTAGTTGGGTCGGGATGTGATCAGGGCCGGTAAATGCAGCCAAGGAGCCTTGGTCAGGATGTGATCAGGGCCTGTGTGAATGCAGTCAAGGTATTTGCCTCCTTAATTGGGTCGGGATGTGATCAGGGCCTGTGTGAATGCAGCCAAAGAGCCTTGTATTTGCCTTTAATTGGGTCGGGATGTGATCAGGGCCTTTGTAACTGCTCCCAAGGAGCCTTTGCGTTCCCTTCCCTAACTGGGTCAGGATGTGATCAGGGCCTGTGTCAATGCAGCCAAGGAGCCTTGCATTCCCTCCCTGACTGGGTCGGATGTGATCAGGGCCTGCGTGAACGCAGCCAAGGAGCCTTGGCCTCCCTAATTGGGTAGGGATGTGATCATGGCCTGTGTATGAAGCCAAGGAGCCTTGTGTTCCCTTCAGGGTGTGAGCAGGAGTGGATGCAGCCAAGGAGCCTTGCATTCCCCTCCCTAATGGGTCGGGATGTGATCAGGGCCTGTAAATGCAGGCACAGAGCTTTGTGTTCCCCTGCCTAGTTCGGTCGGGATGTGATC